TATGCTTTTGTAGTGGACGCCAGCAAAGAAAACGACATTAAGAAAACGTTTTGGGAGGACCCAGCTCCACTTCAAACTTTCTAATGAATGTAGGGGTGGGGCCTCAATCCTTGTTCAAATGCTATGATAATAATAGTATGCCGAATCCTCTCTCTCTCTCTCTCTCTCTCTCTCTCTCTCTGTCTGTATGTGTGTGTGTGTGTATATATATATATATATATATATATATATATATATATATATATATATATATATATATATATATATATATATATATATAAACCATATGATGTATATAAACAAAAATCTAAAAAAAGGAAATGCATGGTTTAAGGGGGCGGAGCTTAGCCAACTTACAAATGTCGAGGGTCTCAGCCCCCGTAAGAAATGTGTCGATGGATTGTCCTGAAGATGTCTACCCTCCAGGTTACAGAATACCCTGGCTAGGAGCATGTGTTGTGTGTACTTGTTGATTGCTTCTGGATGGCACTCCATGTGTGTCTAGCGTTGACAAGTGCCGGTGGGTGTGGTGACGCATGCTTCGTCTAGGTTTTGAAGAAAGAAGAGGAGGCTTCCCAAGTACTGCCCGCACCTGCTAAATAGACGTTCCATTTGAGTGTCAGAGGTCACCAACCGCAGGTCGTTCCTGCTACAAGCTTCGTATTTCGTAATACTAGGTTACGACACTATGACCAAGGATTGCCAGTTCCTGTACTCGTTCGGTGTCTTGTCCTTACCCAGAAAGAAACATTGTTAAATAGACTGTGTATCATCAGCATCATCATGATATACTGTTTATGGCGCAGTTCACTACTGGGTAGGTCGAAACGATTTCTTGTCAAGAGTTTCCAACTGGTCATGGAAATAAGTTAATATCTCGGAGAGAGCATCCAGTTTGACAGAGTGAGCTGGGTAGAATCTTCTTCTTCTTCTTCTTCTTCTTCTTCTTCTTCTTCTTCTTCTTCTTCTTCTTCTTCTTCTTCTTCTTCTTCTTCTTCTTCTTCTTCTTCTTCTTCTTCATTTAACGTTGACCAATTTCAGCTAGATCAGAAAACATTGTTGTTCTCTTTCCTGTTCGCTATATTTGTGGTGACGTTTCTGGTCCTCATCTGATCTGGTTTTGAATTGTGCTTTTGGGAAGAGTCAGTGTTAACTATCTGTTATAGAAGCGTTTGCGAGAAATGCGAAGTCCTTGCAATCAGCTGTATAGATGTTTACCTTTTGCGTATAAACGTGGACTAGTAAGAAGCTTGCTTAACCATGCCAGAAAGATTTGCACTCATGATGCACCGCCAGCAGACATTGAAACCACCAGGACAACTGTACTTCTAACTGGGAAACCCAAAGGATACCACCCAACCCTAAACGAAATTACAGAGCTCAGACTACAAGTATTTATCCGATAAACTTATCACTGGAATTGCCTTATGCAGGGTCTGCATGACCGACTCAAAAAGTTCTGCTGACGTCACATGGTCGGGCTAACAGGCAGCGATTCTCAAACTGTGTGCCGTTAGCGTATCCCAGGGGTGCCGCGGCAATAATCAAGACAAGTCTGCTATAAACTGTGAAATTGTTAAAGAAGGTATGTAGATACTTAAAAGTTAAAATTTGTCTTCCCTGGCTACTGTCAAAAAAAGTTTTTTGTTTGTTTGAGAACAGCTGCGTTAACACATCGTTAGCCTGACCCGGTGACGTCAGTAGCACTGTCCGTCAGCTGGAGCCCGTTGTGGTTAAACGTTCTTTGTCGCTGTTTCAGTGAACGAACGAACTAATGAAATTTTGTTCAAAGGGTCACAAATTGGGCACGCAGACCCGTCTTATATTCGTCCCTTCCAGACACCTGTCTTTCACACAGCAGTTGTATTTTATCGACGAAGAATGTTCATATAATAATGTGTGATTTCATACAAGTCCAATTTTACCACAACCCCACCTGTTAAAGAACTAGTGTCTTCTTACACCAGATACAGTTGTATTTATCAGTTTACATGTAAGTGCCAGTTGACTTACATTGGTCAAACGGAGAAACCGCGTAAGAGTAGCGGAACAGATTCCCAAATAGCACTAGTGAGCGATTGTGCATGGGCGTCAAAATCATACAAGAAGAAAGAACCCATCTCTTCTGTAGGATGTCGTTTGCTTGATTCCGGACATGTAGTTGACAAGGACAATGGTTTTGTGTTATTTGCCTCGTATCGAACAGGCGAATGCCCAGAATAGCAGAAGCTTCAAAAATAAAAACGAATGACTGCCTCCTATGTAAACAGAAGGAATTCATCGTAAATTTTAAGTTACCCTGGAAAGTCATGCATGTGACTGTCGTAAACATCCGGCGATCAGGCGAACAACGTATCGAAAGAGACCATTTGTACTTCACTATAATCATTCTTGTGTGTGTGCGCGCGCGTGTATATGTGTGTGTGTGTGTGTGCTTCATTATATGTTGACGTAACTGTATTAACGCACCTGACTAGATACAATGAAATATGCCTGGCAAGAAGTTATGTAATGTGTTGTGTATGTCCATATTATTTAACTTTAATACGGGAAAAGATTGTTTTTAGTTATACAGATTGTCATCAGGAGAATCGGCGTCTGTAGCTTTGGAGTTGCGAACGAGCTTTGTAATGCCGGGTTCGATCCCAGCTGCGGACATTGCGCCTTGCGTTGGTTTCGACAATGGTATTGAGAAGCTGACCGCCCAGAAAGCAATGGCAAACTACTGGACGTAAATTTGCCTAGAAAAACCACAACAGCCAAAAAATGCTAGGGTTGGATACGCAATTACCTTTTTTTAAACATCGGGAGAGAGAGGGAGGAGGGAGAGAACAAATGAATATGTGTTAAAATAAGATGTGATTCAAAGTATAAAGTTATAGAGACATGACATCAACCTGGCCCCTAACACTGGTCAACCATTAAACCTTGCAATATCATGCTTTCGTGCTTTTTCTGATGTGTGCAATTTCTGCAGCCTGCCACGATTATCACCGCCACATAGTTCTTATTCTACCTTATTTACATTCACCATGTCTGAGCCCGTCCTGTGCCTAATGGATGTTTGTACAGCACAGAAGGGAACCCAGCCAAGTTATTGATATCTGTGCCAGGAGCACACGGAGCTTGCTAGAGAATGGTGGATGCTCCGAACAGATAGTGACATTCCCCGGTTCTAACACTTGCTTACATTAATAACCACTGGTGGCTTTACTCGTATAACACTGCCCACCAACTCTAATACTTGCATATAACAACAACAACTGGTGGTTTTATGGAAACACATTAGTATTGATTGTGTCGTGAAAACACGATTTATTGCCTCTGAAATAAGTATGCAAAGATAATTAAAGGAGAGAAATGAAAATTTGAAAAGTTGAAAGAACACTCCCAGAAGTTACTGATCGGCCCAGACTCACCTCCGAACAGATAGTGACATTCCCCCGTTCTAACACTTGCTTACATTAATAACCACTGGTGGCTTTACTCGTTTAACACTGCCCACCAACTCTAATACTTGCATATAACAACAACAACTGGTGGTTTTATGGAAACACATTAGTATTGATTGTGTCGTGAAAACACGATTTATTGCCTCTGAAATAAGTATGCAAAGATAATTAAAGGAGATAAATGAAAATTGGAAAAGTGGAAAGAACACTTCCAGAAGTTACTGATCGGCCCAGACTCACCTATACTTGCTGATATACCCGAGGCCGAGGACGATATTTAGAAATGCGGTGGAGCATTTGGAATTTACCCAGAAATGCTGCACGTGAAAAAGACGAAAACGCCAACGCTGTCATTTGAGATGTTTCCAGATATCAGGAGCGAGGAAGAAATTCAGCAGGAGCGGGAAAAGAGTACCATCAGTACAGTATCAGACGACCATAGATTTAGGAAACTAACAAATGGAGAGGTAGCACACTACTATCAGTAACAGGTTACATTTTCAGCCGGATTATTCTTAAGAGAATGACCCAAGAACTTGATAGTAAAATTAGGCAAGGGCAGTTATGTTTTAGGAAGTGGACATCATGTATTGGCCATTTTAATGCTGTCTTATTAAAACATTTTATATATATATATATATATATATATATATATATATATATATATATATATATATATATATATATATATATATATAAAATGTGTGTGTACGTACGTACATAGAAGTGAACATGTTGTTCGTCCATAACAATTGATGATGACCAGTCCTTTCCTCCAATGGTGACTGCGGTAGGTTTTGTGAGTGCGCAGATGGCTGTTAAAGTCAATTCTAGCACTGAATGTACTCAGGCAATGTGGACAGGGAATAGAAGCCGCATCTCTCTTCTGATTTGCTTGAGTCTCTTTCCTGGCTTGTCTGACTGGGTTAGGTTTTGTAAATGCGCAGAGGAGGCCAATTCTAGCACTGACATTTATTGGGCAATGTGGGCAGGGACAATTTGGTGATTTGCTTCAGTGTCTTTCCTGTATCGTTGCTGAAGTTCTAGCAGCTTCAAGGGCCACAGCTCATCGATGAAGAGGGCAGCGCCAGGATGAGCGGTCACATGCAGCAACTTTCCAGGTTTTAGGATCAATACAGAAGTCTTTCAATGAGGTCTTGATGTTGTCCGTGAAACGTTTCTTCTGTCCACATTGGAAGCGTTTTACTTTAGTTGCTCACCATAGAAAATTCTTGTTGGCAGTCAGTGGTCAGGCTTGCGGACTATATGACCTGCCGAGCGAAGTTATGATTGTTTCAGAATCAAGTAAATACTGGACAGTCCAACACTGTCGAGGACTTCGGTGTCAGGGATCTTGTCTTGCCATTTTATTTTCAGCAACTTTCTGAGACATACCTTTTTGGAAATGAATCATTTTCATAGCATGCCGCTGGTAAACGGGTCCATGTTTTAGATGGACAGAGAAGTACAGGAAGTACGACAGCTTTGTACACTTTGAGCTTCTTCTGCAGGTTGATGCCAGCTCTATTCCAGACTTTTGTACAAAGTCTACCAAATGCGCTGCTGGCGTTGGATATGCAAGTTAACATGTCGAGGGAATGTCAGACGAATAACCATAGAGATGGGAGAGGGCCAACCATAGAGATGGGAGAGGGCCAACCATAGAGATGAGAGAGGGCCAACCATAGAGGTGGGAGAGGGCCAACCATATAGATGAGAGAGGGCCAACCATAGAGATGGGAGAGGGCCAACCATAAAGATGGGAGAGGGCCAACCATAAAGATGGGAGAGGGCCAACCATAGAGATGGGAGAGGGCCAACCATAGAGATGGGAGAGGGCCAACCATAGAGATGGGAGAGGGCCAACCATAGAGATGGGAGAGGGCCAACCATAGAGATGGGAGAGGGCCAACCATAGAGATGGGAGAGGGCCAACCATAGAGATGGGAGAGGGCCAACCATAGAGCTGAAAGAGGGCCAACCATAGAGATGGGAGAGGGCCAACCATAGAGCTGAGAGAGGGCCAACCATAAAGCTGAGAGAGGGCCAACCATAGAGCTGAGAGAGGGCCAACCATAGAGCTGAGAGAGGGCCAACCATAGAGCTGAGAGAGGGCCAACCATAGAGCTGAGAGAGGGCCAACCATAGAGATGGGAGAGGGCCAACCATAGAGATGGGAGTGGGCCAACCATAGAGCTGAGAGAGGGCCAACCATAGAGCTGAGAGAGGGCCAACCATAGAGATGAGAGAGGGTTAACCATAGAGATGAGAGAGGGCCAACCATAGAGATGAGAGAGGGCCAACCATAGAGATGAGAGAGGGCCAACCATAGAGATGAGAGAGGGCCAACCATAGAGATGAGAGAGGGCCAACCATAGAGATGAGAGAGGGCCAACCATAGAGATGAGAGAGAGCCAACCATAGAGCTGAGAGAGAGCCAACCATAGAGCTGTGAGAGAGTCAACCATAGAGCTGAAAGAGGGCTAACCATAGAGATGAGAGAGGGTCAACCATAGAGATGAGAGAGGGTCAACCATAGAGATAAGAGAGAGCCAACCATAGAGATAAGAGAGCCAATCATAGAGATGAGAAAGGGCCAACCATAGAGATGAGAGAGGGCCAACCATAGAGCTGAAAGAGGGCCAACCATAGAGATGAGAGAGGGCCAACCATAGAGCTGAAAGAGGGCCAACCATAGAGATGAGAGAGAGGGACAACCATAGAGCTGAAAGAGGACCAACCATAGAGATGAGAGAGGGTCAACCATAGAGATGAGAGAGGGCCAACCATAGAGCTGAAAGAGGGCCAACCATAGATATGAGAGAGAGCCAACCGTAGAGATGAGAGAGGGCCATCCCTAAAGATGAACGGAGGCTCGTGATATCTGCAGCAGTGTACCTCAAGGACCGGAAATGCTGAAGAAAAAGACGCACACACACATACAAACGCATGAGCGCGCACGCACTCATAGTAGTGTCGATGAATAAAAATAAATTTATTGTTTGCTTGTTTTCCCGTTGCGTTAAAGTGCAGATACTATATATAAAGTGAGTATTTTTCATTGCCGCCATGATTATCGCGTTGGATTGCTAGTTAATCTTATAATTTCCTGTTATGGGTTATCTGCACTTATAGATACTTTGTTTTCCGTGCCAGCGGCGCCAGTTTCAGCACAGCAGCATTAGTCCTCTCCCTCTATAACAAGCAGATGGGTAAACTGAAGGGGCGTTTACATCGGTACAACTGGGAGAATCCGTGGAACAATGGGTAAACTGAAGGGGCGTTTACATCGGTACAAATGGGAGAATCCATGTAACAATGGGTAAACTGAAGGGGCGTTTACATCGGTACAACTGGGAGAATCCGTGGAACAATGGGTAAACTGAAGGGGCGTTTACATCGGTAGAACTGGGAGAATCCGTGGAACAATGGGTAAACTTAAGGGGCTTTTACATCGGTACAACTGGGAGAATCCGTGTAACAATGGGTAAACTGAAGGGGCGTTTACATCGGTACAACTGGGAGAATCCGTAGAACAATAAAAAAAAAAAAGTTAAGAAAGGTGGCTTTTTCATGAAACACAATACATTATTAAGCTGACATCAGGTATTGGGCATATAAACAGCATAGTATTAGGTAATAATGAGGTCGGCGTGAAACGTGAATGCGGGCACTTGAAGTAGTTTCTAATCCTACTAATCCTAAAGTCACTGCTAATCGTTCAGTGTACGTTCTGCCGAGATCTACTTTTAATTGCTTTCTTAATTGCCCCAAATCTACCTTGGGCTGTTCAGGAAAACCAAACTTTATGATTTATGTGCAGCGTGCCAATTTCAAGGTGGGAGTTTATGTCGGGTCAGGTTGTTCACTCCCAGACATACTCGCCGGAACATGAGGGGCTCACGTTCCTTGAGGCACCACCAAGAAATTTGTTTAAGGGAGGGCAACCATTTGTAGACAATTTATCGAAGAAATATTTGTTTGAACAAAAAAGACACAAACAATAGATTGCACAATTTATTGCCTGGCATATTTCGCTTTGTCTCGTCAGGTGCATACTACAGTAACAATTACATAAATGAAGCAGATAAGTGAATGCTTTATAACTAAGGCAACATTTAAACAACTATCACACATGAATGCCTGTTTTTACCATGGCAGCCGCGAAGAAAAAACAATCTCTTTCTGAATACAGTTCCGGGCGCAGTATATATATATATATATATATATATATATATATATATATATATATATATATATATATATATATATATATATATATATATATATATGTGTGTGTGTGTGTGTGTGTGAGGTATATAAATAGCAATGCAGCACAAAATAATAATAATAATAATAGGGATAATAATTGCACACTTAAAGCTTAAGTCTCTTGAGGAACTCACCCCCCCCCCCCTCCTTCCGGCCTAGTAATTTTCTAAAGCTGGGCTTCAAAGGAAAGTGTTTAAACCTTGTTTAACTTGACAATAATACATTTTATAATGATTATTTTGCAGTTAAACACGGCTTGAAATTGCCCCTTCCCCAAACTTATGTTTTCTTTCCGGCGGCAGGCTTGCTCCTAGCGTTGATATACATCTTTTATCTTATATTGTTGTCACCGATTTAAAACTACTGACTGCATTCTGTAACATTGCTCTTTCGCTTTCAAACGTTAGAGAAAAGCTGCTACTAAAGTCTACCATAAAAACGTACTGTGTATCAGCGAAACAGTTGCAGGGAACTTGCACCTTCGGGGCTTTAGACAGCCAACAGTAGACAGGTCCGCAGGATCAGGAACAGCAGCAGCAGCGACAGCAGCAGCAGAGACAACAACAATATATTCCGTCGATCGAGACTTACTACGAGAAAACACTTAAAAGAATTTCGTTATTTTTATGGAGACAACTTCTGCCTGATGTTTGGCTAATTAATTCTGGTTTTGATACTTCGTGTCATAATGCCAAAATAATCGTCTCTCCCTTCCCCTCTAATCCACCTGTTGTCGAGGGATCTTTCTACTGATGATCAGTGGACCCCTGTTGTACATGCTCCCCCATGGAGTTCTTCTTATTATTGTGCATCACACACCACTTGACTAGTAATTTTCCTAAATGGCTTCTATTAGTACCAGTTTCTGTTCCTTAAAAAAAAAAAAAAAGAGGGATTGAATCTGATCCCACCCGCAACTATTACCGGCTGTGGCTCAGCTATTCTCCTTTGTAATCCGGGCTTGGGACCGGCAATCGCGTAGGTACGGTACAAGCAAGACTTCCTGGAGAAAACCTTGGTACGAGTCAATATTTTATTTCTGTCATTGGCCAACAGTTTAAGGGAATCCTATTCTCTTGGTTAAGGTGAAAACAGAATGGTCTTTTCTTGTTTCTTAAATTTTTTTTTTTTTTAATCCCACGTACGCGATGTTTCCTTCTTCCCCCTTTTGTGACAGCCTGTGGCATTTCCTTCCCTCCTTTATTTAGTACGCTAACGGGCGTTGGTATTCATAGCCTCTTGTACTGACGCCAAAGCAAGTTTATGTTTGAATTATTATACTGCTAAAAATAGAGAACTGTTTTGTGGCTGAAAGCAAACAGCGGCTATGTTAATGAACTTACTGCAGAGTGAAAACGTACACATTTGACTTGTTGAATAGGGCGACCCTTATAAAACCTGGTCATGACATGGCTGTCTCTCTCTCTCTTTCTCTCTCTCTCTCTCTCTCACACACACACACACACACACACACACACACACCCACACACACGAAGGTTGGCTACAGAGTACCCACAGCTGTGTTCGGTGATATTTTGTTGGTAGGACTCAGTATCTGCCACGGTACGACTTTCTACCAATTTGTGCGACAACCACGAAAGTGTTTTAAAAAAACCCAGCAACAACAGAACACTAGTGTTCGAGGATCATTAAATTGTTAAACACATTCACTAACCCCCAAGCCTACTTAACTGCATTGGTGGATGTTCATTTTGTTTATCTAATTTACCGTCTTCGATTAATGTTGTTCCCATTCATTGCCTTTACATGAGCCATGTTCTGGCGCCTGTGTTTAGTTTAGTATAGACGCATCAACATCATGGTGTAAACCCATGAGTGCTCCTTTCTACTTCTAACTCAAGCCTGAGTCGGAAAAGTCTCATCGCAGTGCAAGAACCCCGTTGCACCGACAGGGATCCTGAAATAATTTTTGGGAGTAGATTTGTAACTCTGAATTTTGCCCTGGGCAGCGCCATTAGTCTAATCTTTTCTGATTCCGACTGCCATACGTCTACTATTTTTTTTTTTAACGTGCGCAACAATACACACGGGCGTCCACGGTCTTACAACCTAGAAACAGGGGCAATAACTAGAAGTCCACGTGAAAAAATCCTAGCCTTCACCGGGTGCCTATGGAATACTTTCAATATATCTGACACAGATGATTTGTCATGCCATGTCAGCTTCTACTCTCTCGGTCTCCCTCTTCTTCCCCCCTCTAACTTTGATATGAGCAAAGAGTGTAGATTGTCCTCTTGTGATGCCTGCCATCATTTCTCTTCATAAGTTTTTTTCTTTCAAAGAATCTTCATGAATTATTTTATCTGCCCGACATTTTCTAATCGTTAGTTGTTCGCTGGCACTGTTCCATCTGTTCGCTTCTCAGACATTCAGATTTTAACATAACTGCAATAATTCTCCCCCTTGACTCATTTTCCCTTTCAGATTTTCCTCCTGAGTGCAGCGTGGGGCGCGCTATTTTTTCCTCACGAATCTATCCCAGAACCTGTTTCATTCATATTTCACTAGCAGAACTCTTTTTTTTAATCCTAGCAGAGACCGACCTCGACGTCTTCTACCTACCAATCTCTGATCCTCTTTAGAGGATATTTTTAGGCAACCTAGGAGATGCTAGCCGAGAAGATGCATCGGCGGGCTCTTAGGCGGGAGATCCGAGTTCTACCCCTGGGATTTGGTAGCATTTTTCTGTCGTTCGACCCCTGAGATTTGATAGCATTTTTCTGTCGTTCGACCATTGTGATTTGATAGCATTTTTCTGTCGTTCGACCCCTGTGATTTGATAGCATTTTTCTGTCGTTCGACCATTGTGATTTGATAGCATTTTTCTGTCGTTCGACCCCTGTGATTTGATAGCATTTTTCTGTCGTTCGACCATTGTGATTTGATAGCATTTTTCTGTCGTTCGACCATTGTGATTTGGTAGCATTTTTCTGTCGAAGGCAAAA